GTCAGCCGTGTACTTGAAGAGCTGGACTCGGCCGTCGGGCAGGTGGACCGAGTAGTAGCCCTGTACAATCTTGGTGCCGCTGTTCTTGTTCTGGGAGAACACTGAGCCGCTGTAATGGTCGTTGACGGCGTACGCAAACTGGTACGGCTGGGCGTAGTAGCGGGGCTCCTGGTACGACGGTGCGTAGGAGGGCGCCCGGCCGTACGACGGAGCCGGTGCGTGGCTTGGCGCCGGAGCAAAGCGTGGTGTCTTAGCTGGGGCGTAGCGTGGGGCGGGGGCCTGACCGTAGCTTTGGGCTGCAGCCACCGACAGAACAGCGGCGAGAACGAAGATCTAAAATGACATAACGTACTGTGTATTGCCTTCTTAGACGGTTCAAATGACGACCATTCTGATATTGATAACGATACCTTCTTGCCGATGGCGTAGTATATTGCATCCAGCGTGCCCTCTTCACATTTGTGCTTCCTATAGTTAATGTGCTAATTAAAACCGGCACTTTTCTACGCAACACCGCATGATCCGGTTCGTACACTCTCTGCGCGCTAGGTCCACCTACCAACGATGTTCACCCTCTGTATCTACCTCCCCAGACCTTCACGCTCTTGAACCACCTCTGCACGATGTTCACTCGCATGGTCCACATACGCCCTCTGTTTAAAGTGCACTGTGCACTGGGTCGAAAAACCTGCCCCGGATGCTTATTTTGAGCCGGCTCCGTGATTATACCTTTTTATCTGCAGAAAGTGCACACACATTTCAGTGGCCGACCATGTTGACCACGTAACGCGTCGTAGTAGACACAATACGGAAATAGCATGCTACGGCCGGGATATGTGTATGTTTAGATATGATTCCAGTGCCGTCATTCTGAGTTAATGGCCTTTCGTATGCCAACAGGTACTTGTTAAAATATGTTGTGATGCTAAACAAGATGACATTAGCGGTACTGAGTATTCTCAGCTGTGCTTCAACAGATGAGTACACGAGTGCCAACTCCTCTTGCTATCTTGATTGCTCATCATACAAAATTTGATTTCAGAATACCGGGATACCAGAGCTGAGGGCCTTTCTTTATGTTATCAAGAACGCTCAAAGTCACGAGCTACTAGTTGTAAGATTGAGCATCTGTTTGCCCACATAGTTGAGGGTCATGAGAACCGTGTAACGATTATTTTCTGTTTATTGGTGTGTGCCGTCTTTATCATAAATGTATCATTTGGTCTGGTGCGGAAAACTAAACCATTCAGGCGGCTTTACGGGATAATATATTCATCCGCAATATGTGATTGATAGAAAACTTCGAGCCGCCATGGTATTGATTGCAACAAGCTGTACCATGCGTAGGTAATGTTTCCGTGATTGCCATCGTTTTCTGTAAATCGTTTCATGGAAGGTAGCATTCGGAATAGCAACTATGTCGTATGATTTGAGATCTGTGCCAAAAGTGTTCAGATTTGCCCCGAAAGCAAGTGAAAATTATTGGTTTACAAGGTAGCTTTCCAACTCTTGACAAAAACCAACATTTGAAATGTTCCTGCTGATTTGCTTTTTGCCCCAACTGTGATTATCTGTTATATCACGGCTGTATTTCAACTGGAGTGATCCAGGGCTCGGATCCAACCATTACTGAAGATAGTGACATGCCTCCCTTCAACAATCTGATGGTATTTTGTTCTTTGCCTCAGGAATCCGGTGTCTAAGATTTAACACAATATCGACCAGCGTGTTGGTCGCAGTTCACCACTGCTTCAGGATCATACATCACGAGTGTTATGCAGGGGTTTGTTCAGTCGCTATCCTCCTGCCCGCTATGTGCAATCTAATTGCGACGATGCTTTGTTCCCCCGTCCGAGTTGCTTGGTTCGCTTCATATGATTGACTTTTTAAGTACGAACAGTTTATTTTATGCAATGCATTACACCAAAGACGTAGAACACACATTTAAACAAGAAAACAATAAGATACGAACGCACACTTAACTGAATTGTGGACTCTTGCTAATACGATTGGGAAGGAGCTCCGTAAGACTGAGCGGGCTTGTAAGAGACAGCAGTAGGCCGGTAAGAACGAGCAGGTGTGTAAGAGGGAGCAGCAGGCCGGTAAGAGGGAGCTGGTTTGTAAGAGGGGGCAGGCTGATAGGAGCGAACCGGTTGGTAAGCAGGAGGAGCCTTGTAAGAGGGAGCGGCAGGAGCGTAGGAGCGGGCTGGGGCGTAGCTGGCCGGCTCGGGGTACTGGGCCTCGCCGTCGTAGGTGACCTCGGCGTTGTAGCCGCCGTAACCCTGGTTGTCAGCCGTGTATTTGACGTGCTGAACCCGGCCGTCGGGCAGGTTGACCGAGTAGTAGCCCTGTACGATCTTGGTGTCGCTGTTCTCGTTCTGGGAGAACACTGATCCGCTGTAATGGTCGTTGACGGCGTACGCAAACTTGTACGGCTGGGCGTAGTAGCGCGGCTCCTGGTACGACGAGGCGTAGGAAGGTGCCCGGGCGTACGACGGAGCCGGGGCGTGGCCTGGCGCCGGAGCAGGAGCGTAGCATGGCGCCGGAGCAGGAGCGTAGCGTGAGGCGGGTGCATGGCCGTAGCTTTGGGCCGCAGCCACCGACAAAACAGCGGCGAGAATGAAGATCTGAAATGATATAACGTACCGTGTAACACGCTCTTGATAGTACAAATGAAGACCACTCTGATATTGGACTTAATCTCGTATAATCAAACACGCAGTGCTGTATTGTCTTCACCTCTCAGTTGACCTCACCTTCATGGTGCTCTTGGTGTGATCCGGTGAGTGACTGACGCTTTGTTCATGGCCCGGTGGCCTTATATACGAGCCGTTGTGGATGGCGGGGTCGCTCGTGCTGCTAATCGCCTTCACATTCTCATGGTGGGGCCACCGTGTGTACGTGCATCCAGAGCTGGTTATGTTGCGTGATAGAGCTTGGGAGAGGTGAAGAATTTCGTGCAAAACATTCAGGATAGGTGGTAACATTGTCTCTCTTATATGTTGTTATGGTTGTCAGGTTTTTGAAGCATTCTTTAAAGGTGGTAGACTCTAAAAGCGTTACACATTCTGGTGCATCTTAGGTCTTATCTTAAGGTCTCGTCACAAATGATATAACACCCTGGGAATGCTTTGAATTTTGGATTGGTGAGTTTTTCAGCATTACAGTAGGTCTATTTTCCTCACTTGTTCTGCCTTCCCAACTAGTTCCGCAGAGTTCGCATTTATTCCACGGTTTTTCCCTTGAATGAAACGATTTGATAAAAACAATCTACTTCATGTGCGTAGTCCTCTTTTAACGTAGACTTAACGTATCTGTAGGATATCCCGCGGGAGACAAGCTTAGCACTGACGTATACACCAATTATGTAATGAGCTGTTGCTCAAACAACGTGCACTATTTGAGTAAACCTCCGGTAACTGGTGGTTACCATCTTGTCGATGGCGTAATATATTGCATCCAGCGTGCTCTCCTCGCATTTGTGTTTCCTATAGCTAATGTGCTAGTTAAAACCGGCACTTTTCTACGTAACACTACATGATCCGACTCCTACAGTCTCTGCGCGCTCGGCTCACCTACCAACGATGCTCACCCTCTGGATCCACCTCCCCCGACCGTCACGCTCTTGAACCACCTCTGCACGATGTTCACTCGCATGGTCCACTTACGCCCTCTGTTAAAAGTGCACTGTGCATTGTGTCGAAAACCTGCCCGGATGCTTATTTTGAGCTGGCGTCTTGATTTTACCTTTTCATCTGCAGAAAGTGCACACACATTTCAGTGGTCGACCATGTTGACCACGTAGCGCATCGTAGTAGACACAATCCGGAAATAGCATGTCACGGCCGGCATATGTGCATGTTTAGGTATGATTTCAGTGCCGTCACACTGAGTTAATGGCTTTTCGTATGCCAATAGGTACTGTTTAAAATATGTTGTGGTGTCAAACAAGATGACACTGACGGTACTGGGTATTTTCAGCTGTGCTTCGTCAACAGATGAGTACACCAGTGCCAACTCCTCCTGCTATCTCGATTGTTCAGGATAAGCATTTTGATCTCAGAATACCGATATACCAGAGCTGAGGGCCTTTCTTTCTGTTATCAAGAGCGCTCAAAGTCACGGGCTCCTAGTTGTAAGATTGAGCATCTCTTTGCCCACATAGATGACGGTCATGAGAACCGTGTAACGATTTTTCCTGTTTATTGGTGTGTGCTGTCTTTATCATAACTGCACCATTTGGTCCGGTGTGGAAAACTGAAACACTCAGGCGGCTTTACGGGACGAATATATTCATCCGTAATATGCGACTGATAGAAAACTTCGAGCCGACATGGTATTGATTGCAGCAAGCTGTACCATGCGTAGAAAATGTTACCGTGATTGCCATCGTATTCTGTAAATCGTTTTGTGGCAGGTAGCATTCGGAATGGTAACCATGTCGTATGATTTGAGAGCTCTGCCAAAAGTGTTCGGATTTACCCCGAAAGCAAGCGAAAATTATTGGTTTACAAGGCATCTTTCCAACTCTTAACAAAAAACCAACATTTGAAATGTTCTTGCTGATGTGCTTTTTGCCCCAACTGTAATTATCTGTTATATCATGGCTGTATTACAACTGGAGTGATCCAGGGCTCGGATTCAACTATAACTGGAGATAGTGACATGCCTCACTTCAACAATCTGATTGTATTTTGTTCTTTGCCTCAGAAATCCGGTGTTAAAGATTTAACACAATGTCGGCCAGCGTGTTAGGCGCAGTTCACCAGTGCCTCAGGATCATACATCACGAGTGTTATGGAGGCGTTTGTTCAGTCGCTATCCTCCTGCCCGCCATGTGCAACCTTACTGCGACGATGTTTTGTTCCCCGGTCCGAGTTGCTTGGTTTGCTTCATATGATTGATTTTTAAAGTACGAACAATTTATTTCATGCAATGCATTACATCAAAGACGTATAACACACATTTAAACGAGAAAACAACAAGATACGAACGCACACTTAAGTGAGTTGTGGACTCTTGCTAATACGATTGGGAAGGAGCTCCGTAAGACTGAGCGGGCTTGAAAGAGGCAGCAGTAGGCCGGTAAGAACGAGCAGGTGTGTAAGAGGGAGCAGCAGGCCGGTAAGAGGGAGCTGGTTTGTAAGAGGGGGCAGGCTGATAGGAGCGAACCGGTTGGAAAGCAGGAGGAGCCTTGTAAGAGGGAGCGGCAGGAGCGTAGGAGCGGGCTGGGGCGTAGCTGGCCCGCTCGGGGTACTGAGCCTTGCCGACGTAGGTGACCTCGGCGTTGTAGCCGCCGTAGCCCTGGTTGTCAGCCGTGTACTTGACGTGCTGGACTCGGCCGTCGGGCAGGTTGACCGAGTAGTAGCCCTGTACGATCTTGGTGTCGCTGTTCTCGTTCTGGGAGAACACTGATCCGCTGTAATGGTCGTTGACGGCGTACGCAAACTGGTACGGCTGGGCGTAGTAGCGCGGCTCCTGGTACGACGAGGCGTAGGAAGGCGCCCGGCCGTACGACGGAGCCGGGGCGTGGCTCGGCGCCGGAGCAGGAGCGTAGCGTGGCGCCGGAGCAGGAGCGTAGCGTGGGGCGGGTGCCTTGCCGTAGCTTTGGGCCGCAGCCACAGACAGAACAGCGGCGAGAACGAAGATCTGAAATGACATACCGTACTTTATGACATGCTCTTTAAGCAGTACAAATGGCAACCATCCTGATCTCGGCCTGCACCTTTCAAAATGAAACATGCAATGATGTGTTGTCTTCACCTCTCAGCTGACCTCACCTGCATGGTGTCCTCGGTGTGCTCCGGTGGGTGACTGATGCTATGTTCCCGGCCCCGCGGTCTTATATACGAGTCGTTGTGGAGGGCGGGGTCGCTCGGTCTGCCAATCGCTCTCACATTCTCATGGTGAGACTGTTGTGTGTATGTGCATGCAAAGCTGGGTTTGCAAGTGGTATGCCAGAGCTCAGCAGATATAGGTTTTCTCGCGAAAAGAATGGAGATGTGGAAGTCAGAGCCGTCAGTCGCTGAATTATATTGTTAGTGGTCGATGTTTCAATGCGTAATGTTTATTCTATGTAAGTATGGGATAAAACAACTACAGAGTAATATTTTGCGTCAAAGCATGATGCGGAAAGTCCTTCTCTGTTGTTTTCAGTTATCATTGGGTTGCACCGAACTAACGATGCACGTAGTTTGTGCATCAGTGCACGTGTCCGTGACGGGTATAAAAGCACGCCGTGTGGGACATATGGGCCGAGACGCCGCACGAGTATTGTCCAGGGAGGAGTGGCCGATGTCGCCGTACACGCCGGCTGGCTGGACGAGCTGGGTAGTGCCTGAGTAGCTGGGCCTGGATGCTTGGTTATTCTCCCTCCCCCCCCCCCCCCCCCCGCCCTCATATGCGGACGTAGGTGACCTAGGCGTTGTCTGCCTTCGTTGTCTGCCGTGTGAGACAACGATGATGTTGATGACCTGATGATGACTAATGAGGATGTACGTGACCTGGGCGTTGCCTGCGCAACCTTCGTTGCCTGCCGTGAAAGACAATGATGATGTTGATGACCTGATGATCACTAATGAGGATGTAGGTGCCCTGGGCGTCGCCTGCGTAGCCTTCGTTGCCTACCGTGTAAGACAAACTGACGCTACTGGGCGTGGTACTGCGGCTCTCGGCACTACAGTGCGCGGCGAACTCATGGACGAAGTAAGGTTAGGATAAGTAGGTTTGGGTCGTGCGAGGTCGGGACTTACCCTTGGGCTGGGCTGGGTCCTCGTTGCCAGCAACAGGCAGTGACAGCATGGCGGCGAGAACAACATTATGTAACGACACGTCATACTCAGGTTCTAGCACACTTTGTGTACATTACTTACGCGATCATACCCCGTTTATACTCAGCAGTGTCAACTCTTGTCAGGGCGACTGGCTGAATGCGACACTGGGGGGGGTGGGGCAATTTTACTCCCTGATATATCAAAAAGTAAGATAATTTGATATTCCGAATTTGCAGAGTAGGTAGGTCTGTGTTTGCGCTCACTTGTGTCAAATTTTGAGTTCCTAAGTCATTTCCTATGAATCGAATAAGGTCAGACAGTGTTAAAATAAAAGTCGGTGGCCGAGGTGCCCTCAGACCTCATGCGACCACCTTTAGCCCAGATGCCTCTTGTAAGGAAAAGGTCAAAGTGTTCTGCTCAGATAAGTGGTATTATATGACCTGATGATTGTCACGGTCATCATAATGGTACAAGATTGTTTTTGTTTTTGAAGTCGAATGGTCGTGAACATTCCGCTAGGGGCATGATGCAAACATCAAACGGCTGAACGGGATCAATTTGGTTCAGCGCCCTTCTCTGACCGTCACGAAGTCCAAATAAGATTCATTGACGTCACTGCATCAAAATCATCAAGGCAGTCGTCAGTAACAACTTCATCAAACATGTTCTATGTTCAAAGTTTGGTTCTAACCTTGGCGTAGGCCTCATACCTGAACCAAGGTCAAATGAATTGGTCATGATCTTATGGTTAATCGCCGAAGTGTATAGGAGGCTATCTCAGCGATGTGTTTACTCGTCTAACTCTTTGTAGTCGCATCAAGATGAGCGATTCCCAAGTCCCAATGATTTGCCTTCGCTGACAGGCATGATTTGTTTTCCAATAGGTCAGTGACCTAACAAGGTGTACTTATTTGTCCCATATCAAAAGTTACGCCATTTTATTCCGTACAGGCGCACAAAGTTTGGTGCGGTACGCTGCCCGTTCAGAAGTCATTCTGGGAACACATTTTGCGGTCAGACATCTTCGTGTTGGTTATAAGCTGTTTTGCGCTTTCAAATGCAGATGCTTGTTTTAATCTTGTTTGCAGCAAACTTGTTCACATGCGGCGCATATAGTTACCGCCACTGATCGTTAGATACTGGACTGTTATGAACTGATTTGTGCTTTTCCATGACACCGGCTGTGAACAAAGCAAACAATTTCTCATTAAACTCCATTAATTGTGCAAAGCTTTCGCGTGGAGACTATAGTGAGGGTCCAAAGGAGCAGGTACGCAAACAGCAATAGTACAGAAGGGGTTCTTTGAACTCCGCTCATGAAGGCATGATTAGACCCTGAGCTATGATCAACCGAATCGTGGAAGAACGTGACAGCAACAAATTTAGTTTAAAGTGGCTTGTGCCCGCGATATTACCCCAAAATCAGAATGGCTTACAACAAATCCCGCTATGTCATCCATCTACACCACCTCTTTTAAGATTCCCGTTGGATGTGATGGAATCATCACGGAATACAGAGATGAAAATGTCAGGCACAACGTTCAACCATAGTGAATTACTCCTCCGTCGTTGTCCGTATGTCCGCCGCAGAGCAACGTTCGCGTGGCTTTTTCGGGACAGCATTTCAAGATCAGTGTACCGTAAATGCGTGCTCGTTAAGCCTTTGCGATCTCTTCGGTTGTTGTCCTTTCTGGAAAGCGACCTGAATACGGCGAGTTATTTGTCAGCCGGTCCGAGCTGCCTCCTTTCTTCATTTCGTTGCTAAATCGCATTCGTAACAATATATTGCTATTCGATGCCTTGCACAATAGGCGTGGAATACACACAAACGAAGACACAGTTTGTCATGAACACTTTCCTCTTCTTTCGATGCTTCCTAATACGACTGGGAAGGAGCTCCGTAAGATACAGTGTGCTTGTAAGAGGGAGCAGTAGGCGTGTAAGAGGGAGCGGAATTGTAGGAACGAGCAGGTTTATAAGAGGGAGTTGGATGGTAAGGGCGGGCCGGCTGGCAAGAGGAAGCAGCCTTGTAAGAGGGAGGGGCAGGAGCGTATGATCGGGCTGGGGCGTAGCTGCCCTGCTGGGGATGCTGGGCATCCTCGTCGTAGGTGACCTCGGCGTTATAGCCGCCGTAGCCCTGGCTGTCAGCAGTATAGTTCACGTGCTGGACCCGGTCGTCGGGCAGGTTAACCGAATAGTAGCCCTGTACAACTTTGGTATCGCTGTGCTCGTTCTGGGAGAACACTGAGCCGCTGTAATGGTCGTTGACGGCGGACGCAAACTGGTACGGCTGGGCGTAGTACCGCGTCTCCTGGTACGACGAGGAGTAGGAATGCACCCGCCCCTACGGCGGATCTGGGGCGTGGCTTTGCGCCGGAGCAGGAGCGTGGCGTGAGGCGGGTGCCTGGCTGTAGCTTTGGGCCGCGGCCACCGACAGAACAGCGGCGAGAACCAAGATCTGAAATGAGATAGCGAAATGTGTGGCATACTCTTAAAGCAGTGCAAATGGTAATCACCTTGATATTGGGCTGCACATTTCATGATCAGGCATGCAGTACTGTGTTGTCTTGGTCTCTCAGCTGGTCCCACCTTCATGGTGTTCTTAGTGTGGTCCGGTGGGTGACTGATTTCTCTCCTTGCCCCCGTGGTCTGCACGAGCTGTTATGAAGGACGGGGCCGCTCGTGCTGCTGATAACCCTTGCATTCCCATGGTGGGGCCGTCGTGTATATGTGTATGTAGGGTGTGCATGTCGTATGCCAGAGCTCTGGAGTAATCAGGTGGTCCGCCAAAGATATTAAGGTGGTGAGGTCGTAGTTATCACTGATTAGTTGTAATGTTAGTGGGAGCCGTTAATTGCACGGGCTCTTTATTTGGAGTCAGTTTATTATGAACCAAAATATGACGTAGAATTTTTATGTACTGGGTGCAAAATGCTGGAAGTACTTTGTCCATGTCGATGTCGGACGAAGCGGCAATGCAGGGAATGAACATGTGCTGCTGTGCCAATAGACGCACAGACATTTTCGTGGCATTTACCTGTAATGC